CCGGTCGGAATCGGATTGACTAGTCCTCCAAATGCTCTCTAGGCGTCTTTTCCGACGCTTCATCTCTCTCAGCTCCTCAGAGAACCAAGGAGCCAATTGAGATCGGCATTGGGTCAGAGGCCGCAAAGGCACGACGCGATCCAAAGCTCTGGCGGCTGCACTCTCCCAGGCGGCCACCAGCCCTTCAGTCGAGTCGTGTGTCAGAGTCTCAGGAAATGGCCCAAGCTCCGTCAGGAACCTTTCGGGATCCATCAGGCACCTGGGACGGAACCATCTGGTCGGTTCCGTCTCCCTGCGGCGGGGGGAAGCGGTAGGAAAGTCCAAGTGAAGGAGCGAATGATCTGTCCATGACAAGGGTTTAATATCTAGGTCCCCTCTACCAAGATCATTCAACCACCGACCAGAGACAAAAATCAAGTCCAGAGTGTGTCCCCCTATGTGAGTGGGGCCTTGAACTAACTGGGTCAGGTCCATGGCCGTCATGGAAGCCATGAACTCCCAAGCCACCTCTGACGCCTCACCCGCGGATGGAAGGTTAAAATCCCCCATGACAATAAGTCTGGGGGTATCAACTGCCACCCTGGTAATGACTTCAAGTAGCTTGGGCAGGGTCGCTGCCACGTGGCAGGGAGCCAGGTACGCAGTCAGCAAACCCATCTGCACCCCACGGCCCCACTTCACAAAAAGGGACTCACATCCGGCTATCTGAGGAACAGTGGTCTCCCTCGGACAAAGACTTTCCCTAATAATCACCGCCACTCCCCCACCCCTCCCCTGGGCCCTTGGCTGATGAAATGCACGGAAACCTGGTGGGCACATTTCGACGAGGGGGACCCCCCCTCTTGGCCCAACCAGGTCTCCGTAATACCTGCCAGGTCTGCACCCCCTTCCAAAATAAGATCACAAATGAGGGGGGCTTTATTAACAACCGACCTGGCATTACACAACATCAGCAGCGGACCCTGGGCCTGAGACTCTGCACAACCCAGGCCACGAGTCGCACACTGGGGGCCGGAGTGCACAATTGCTTGAAAACAGCGTGTGCGCACCCCCGACACATGATATGGTCCCCTGTGCCCGTCATACCTGCCCCTCCCACTCATTATTTCAATTTCATTGCCCTTCCTGTTGCCCCCTTTCCCCGGATAAATTTCCTTTCCCGACCCCTCTGCTGCAACCAATCAACCTATCGCCCCGCTCAGTAGCTATCTGGACCCCCCCAGGTCCACTTTTACAACCCCCTCCCTTCTCCCGGGTCCCCTTAAAATTTTCATTAAAAATTTAAATAAAACCCCCCTCAACCCCCTCTTCGCTGCATGCCATCTCTCAGGATTCCAAAATCCGTCATCAAAATAGGCCCTCGATAACATGGAGGGCCAGGCCTGCGAGAGGGGGGAGTCTCGCAGCGCGAAGAGCTTAGCCGGTGAATACATCGTATAGTCTGTCTGGGGAAGATGAGCGAGTCCAAGGATTCAATGGTGCTGATTAAAAAAAGGTCCAGGAGAGAAAGTTCACCATTCCGGCACGGGTCAACCGGACTCCACTGTCCTCTCACTACAGTGGAGAGGCGTCTCAGGCCGCTGCCCCGGGAAAGCAGTGACCAAGCCACCCTCTCACGGCGGCTGGTAACAGCAGATCTTCTTCGGTGACAGCTGCAACAAAGTGACTCCCTCAGTACATCTGTCACCAAATTAATGTGACTATGATCAAATCTATATAAAGTTTAACTGTTCTAGTAGGATTTTTCTGACATTTATTCAGTTGCCTCTTGCACAAAAGCCAGTCTACAAAGAGTTTACAAAGCATCAAAGGGATCTCGTTGTTGGAAGGTATCAGTCAGGAGAAGGGTACAAAATGCTTTCCAAGGAATTGGAACATAGCGAAGACAGTCATCAACAAGTGGAGAAAATGTGGCACAACAGTGGCATTACTAAGAATGGGATCTCCCTCCAAAATTGATGGGGGTAAAAAAGAAGAAAACTGATCCAAGAGGCTGCCAAGAGGCCTACAGCAATATTAAAGGAGCTGGAGGAATTTCTGGCAACTACTAGTTCTGTACTACATGTGAGAACAATCGTCTGTATTCTTCTACCCCTGTGGAGTAGGGTAGAAAGCCGGAAGCCTTTTCTTCCAAAGAAAAATATCCAAGCCTGGCTACATTTTGCAAAAACCTCCATCAAGTCTGACAAAAGCATGTGGGAAAATGGTCTGATGAGAACAAGATTGAACCTTTTGGCAGTAATTCCAAAAAAGTAAGCTTTGCACGAAAACAATACTGTATATCACCAAAAGTACACCATACTTACAGTGAAGCATAATGGTGGCACCATTATGCTTCGGGGCTGTTTTCCTTCAGCTGGAACTGGGAGTTTAGCCAACATATGGGGAATTATGAACAGTTCCAAATATGAGTTAATTTTGGCACAAAACCTTCAGTTCTCTGCTAAAATGCTGAAGATGAGGAGGAATGTACCTTTCAAATGACAACAACCCAAAGATACTTCCAAATCAACAAAATAATGACCAAAAGAAGATCAGAGTTCTGGAATGGTCTCGAGCCAAAGCCAACACCTGAATCCAATTGAAAATCTGTGGGGTAACCTGAAGAGGAGATCCCCTTGCAATCTGACAGATTTGAAATGGTTTTGCAAGGAAGACATGGCAAAGATTCCCAAAACAAGATATGCCATGTTGATAGGCTCCTACCCCAAGAGACAGAATGCTGTCATAAAATCAGAAGGTGTTCAATGAATAAGAGCCTTGGTAGTACAGTGGTTTAAAGCACCCTGTTATTAACACAGCTGCCTGCGATTACTGCAGATTCGAATCTTACCAGGCTCAAGGTTGACTCAGCCTTCCATCCTTTCTAAGGTAGGTTAAATGAGGACCCAGTTTGTGGGTGCAATAAGCTGACTTTGTATAAATATACAAAAGTATGAAGGCTATTGCTTAACGCATTGCAAGCCACCCTGAGTGTCCGGAGAAGGGCGGCATATAAATCAATTTTTTTTAAAAAGAGTATTATTTATTTATTTATTAATTCAACTTATATACCGCCCTTCTCCCCAGGGGGACTCATTAAAGATGTGCACTCTTATGCAATCACATTATTATAAGCTTTTTATTTTTATATTTTCAGTTTGTTTGTAATTGTACATTGTTATATTAAACGTGGGAAAAATTCGGAAGTAATTTATTTTGGTCTGATTTTTTACATCTCAAAAACCTGGCATTTTAACAGGGGTGTGTAAACTTTTTATATCCACTGCATACATATATACTCATACTAACTAAAACTTTGTTATAAAAACCATATATAACCACTGATTATATATGTGTCAACTACAATTAATTAACCATACTTTAATGTAAATTTCCTTGCTTGCAAAGTACTATTTATTTTCACTGTTTTGTAAAAAGATTTACCATATTTTTCGGAGTATAAGACGCACCTTTTTACCCACCAAAAGAGGGTGAAAAATTAGGTGCGTCTTATAAACCGAATGTAGCCCTGCCCACCCACTGGCCCCCACTCTTTGGCCTGTGCCTCGCAGCAGTTACCTTCTTGCAAGCAAACAGCAAGAAAAAACAGCCCCTTTCAGCATAGGTTAATTAGCACAAGTTGATTAGATCGGCCTCCCGACTCTCAGCTGATTTGTTCTCAGCTGTTTTGTGCAGGGCTCTCCTGCTTGCTGCAAAAAGTGCTGGAGCAGATTTTTTTTCCCTAGCTATGCTGAAAACACGAAACTGAAAGTAAAGCAGGCTCTTTGCTGCAATGTGACAAAAGGAGGCAGAGAGAGATTTCTTTTTCTTTTTTCTCACCAAAAAAGGTAGGTGCAAACAATGGGAAATTTAGGGCAAAAGAGGAGAGTTCAAGATTTTACAACACAAAAGAAAAAAAGCTCTATTTAACTAGGGAATTGTAATAATTGAGATACTATTAATTGTATATTGTGTTGAAAGCAGAAATGGTTAAGTTGTGGTTTGGAGGAATATATGGGGGAAATTATTTGGTTTATTATTATTGGTAAATATAATTAATTGATTTGTAAGAAATTGGATGGCATGGAAATAATTGGAATATTCATGTTCATATTGATTAATATACAAAATATACATACATGTATACAGGTACAAAATGTACAAATATACATAGTTATAACTAATTGATTTATATAAAAATGTTGAATTTGTATTAAACAATTGTAATATTAAATAATTTAACCAATGTGAGGATAGATATAAAAACAGATGACAATGGGAAGGGATATAATATAGAATAGAAGGGAAAAATTGAATTTGATTAAGATTAGAGATGAGAATGAAGGGTAATATTGGTTTTTTTAAAAAAATAGATGAGAAGTAAATATGGCAAAAAGGAAATATAGAAATTCTAAATGTAATTGAAATGACTAAACACTGTTTAAATTTGTGAACCAGCGAAACACTCTGTTCAAAGAAAATACATTATATGTTTGTATGTGCGTTTGTCTAAAAAAATTTTAAAAAACTTTAAAAAAAAAAAAGGTAGGTCTTATTCTCCGGTGCGTCTTATACTCCGAAAAATACGGTATCTAATTGGTTACCATCTATAACTTCCCCCAGAAATTCAGCTAGCTGAACAAATTTAATGCCATAGGATTGCCCTTAATTTCTTCCTTCTACTCCTTTTTCTCAACAGGGAAGTCACACAGCATGGGGGTATCTATATAACTGTGATAAAAACTGCTATTTTCAACTGAATATACACAATATAGAGCAAGCAACATCTGTTTCAGAGAGCTATTAGGGATACATCTCATACATTAAAAAAGTACTGTCCTAGCATTCTGCCCAAAATAACCCTTGATCTGCAAAATTAATGTTCAAATAAATTTCATTTATATATTCACATTTTCATATTCAGTTAAAGTTATGTTGAAAAATTATTATTTTTAAATAAACATTCTAAGAAAACCAACAGTAAGAAACTATGATAGTTTATAATTCTTTAACCATACCTGTGCACCATAGATATATTTGTCTAGCATCTTGCTTCCTATTGTTTGGCCTCCGATATCCCATACATGAAGAGTAACATTTATATTTCCTGAAAAGGGGGAAGGGGAAACAAAAAGCTGATGTATAAGGCATAGCTGAGTTACAGAATCAAATAGAAATTCAGTATTGAAACACTATACAATATACCGATATAAAATGCGTTCATCACTAATTTATTTGTCTTGTAAAAGGTAAGTAAGAAAAGGTAAGTAAAAAAAGGTAAGTTTTTTACTGCACACAACCCATGGTTGGCTTTAATATATCAAATTTCAAAGAATGCTGAAATTCATTAAGAGGCTTCTCCAGGGGTGAAATCCAGCAGGTTCTAACAAGTTCTGGAGAACCGGTAGCAGAAATTTTGAGTAGTTTGGAGAACTGGCAAATACCACCTCTGGCTGGCCCCAGAGTGGGGTGGGAATGGAGATTTTGCAATATCCTTCTCCTGCCATGCCCACAGAACCAGTAGGAAAAAAAATTGGATTTCACTGGGCTTCTCTTGTTTTTTAAGCAGCAGTGTACATAATACACTGACAAATTGTCTTTACACAGAATGGTAATTTGAAATGCAGATTTATTTGGCTGCCCAGCTAATGTTTTCTAAGCCATGTGACTAAAATAAAATATTGAAATACAAAATTATATTTAAAACATTTTAAATGTTATAAAATGAAATATAAAATTTTGCTCAAGATGAAAAACTCTGGTAGTGCTGTCCTGACATATATCTACTCAGACATAATCCCCCATGAAATCAATGTTACTTACTTCCAAAGAAAACTACAGTGTTGCAGTCTTAGTAACCCAAATTATCAAACCTATGTTGCATCACAGAACTAGTTTATTAGTTTAAAAGATGAGCTACTTAAGATGCCAAGGCAAGTAGCAGTATCTTTATTAATTTCCCAAAGGATGAAAAGATTGCGGGAGAGGGGGAACTTTTTGCATTCTACAGCAAAGCCCTTCAGACTGCCACCAGATGCAGTGACCCTTCTCAGCATCCCTGCTTCCTTCTCACTGCATCTGGTGGCAGTCTGAAGGGCAGGGTCAGCACAATATCCACAGAAGACTATATTCTGTTATTCCCAAATGATTAGGGCCATTTAAACTGGGCAAAAAAATGGATTAGCCGCTACGTTTAGGTTTTTTTTAATTATTGAAGGCATAAAATAAGTGCTCTAAAACTGTTAACTACTTCATCTTAAAGAAATCCCACCTCTTAAGATGATAATATGATTAAAGGCATGGTATGCCATACAAACAAAAAAACAACAGTGCATGGAGCATATTCACCCTTTGCCAATGGCACAGCGATAAATGCACTGGGGGTTCCAGGAAGGATTCAGCCTGCCTAACAATTCATTGGCTATGGGGGGATCCCTGACTGGATGGCAATTTACACTCATCCTCAGCCATATCATTTTTTTTTCTTGCAGTGCTTTAAAAACAAAAAAATAAAACATCAAATAGGCAGGCATAAAGTAGATTTTGGATTCAAGCCTATAAACAAAATATAATGTAATTTTGCGAGTTACTGTGTCACAAATTATTATTTTCACCATTTGTTAATAGCCATCCAGGAAATATTCCTTGTGGGTAAAAAACTTTCCCTTTGTTAGTAATGCAATTAGAAAAATAGATATAACTGTGCATATTATCAAGAGAACCTTTTTTCACTTTTCTCCACAGCATTTTTTTCCTATTGAAGTATTTTTAACAATGAAAAAGAAAAGCTTTTTTATATTAAGAGAAAAAAAGTTACACAGAAACTTTTCTTTGGAATTTCACCATTATGTTGATAAGTATTTATACTTGATCAAACAACATGATCCACACACACACACATTTAAATGTATTATTTTCTCAATTATTTTTGAAAATTAATTTAAGCTGAAATCAGTGAAGTTTAATTTTGGCTGCCTTTTATAGTAGTTAAAAATCAACTATGCTATAGAATCTTCAGATTCTCATTCTCTCTCCCTCCTTTCCTCCCCTCTCTATTTCAAATTTGGAACAGCATTACCAGAAGCATTTGAATATCTTTCTGTCATTTTGGAACTGTTCCAGGTACAAAATGTGCCCATAACTAGCTTCCAAAGGCACTATATTTGAAATGTTTTGCACACCACTACTGTTTGTATCTTTCATACTGAATAACCTAAAACAACCTAAAATAGGTGGAATTTAAACAAAGTAGTATTTTCCCCCCATTATACTGATCTACACCAGTCCACTCCCCTCAAAAGCCCCAATCAGACACATATTTCAATAGCATTATAGTCTTGCTGTTGAATATACCACCCTCAAAGGAGAATTTTTGTTACATGAAGAAAATGACTTTTGAGATTGAATTGTATCTAACACAAATGCATAATAAAACCTACTAATTTATTAGACTTATAAAAAACAGTGATTTTATTTCATTCACCTTTGCAAATTTTCAAAAAATAAGACATTTATTTGAACTATCCAATATTATTTGTATAATAAACTTCTCATTTTGATGTTAATATTTTAATTAAGCTCATATTTTTTCTAATTGCAGCTGCATCTTTAGTGGAACTAACGAAAAAAGACAGTTCACAATAAGCAACTTGGCTTGTTAATCTTTCTATAAAATTGCTGCAAGGAAACAATTTAATCCTTCGAGACCATTGCCAGACAAATGATCCCTACATTTCTAGCTGCTGAAGAAAATGGGTTAATTTTAATATTGCTAAATGCCTAGTTAAAAAGATAGCTTTAGCTGGTATACGAAATCATCAATATTTCAACCATGTCTCTAAGTAAATATATTACCTTACAACATTTCTGATGTAAGGCATGCAGACATTCATGCCAATGGGTCTTTGCAAACAACATTTCCCCATGGGTAGCAGACAAGGGTGCTAAATAAATAAATCTGTGGAAATGACTCCAAAGAAGCATTAATGGCTCTGATAACTGCATGACACACAATCTATTTTGATTGTGGCTTTTCCCCATCCCCAAATTTATAAAAAAGAATATGCATCTTCAGGTATGCTTTTCTGTATTTTTTTTATCAGAAGCTGATTAACTTATTTGGGACATAATAGCAATAATTCACACAAATGTTTTGGCTTCCAAAATTAAGCCCCAGATACAAGTAAAAGCCATTGAAGTATAACATAAGACTAAATATTTTAATAACTTACATTTTAAAGAATTTTACAATTAAAAATTCACAGTGAACTATTGTAGTATCTATTTTTAAAAGTTGCTGGAACTTTCATTTTGTTGTACTACATAGCAAATAACATTCAACCAAGTGTGAAGCTGAGTTTATCAAGAATGCAGGGCAAATACCCAAAAGTTTTTGGTCACTACCAGTAGTAGGATTCAATAACCCTCTAAAAGTATACAAGTGTGCTAATTAACCTTAGTTAAGTTCTATATCATTAAGACAGAATTAAAACCACTTTTGTTCATTTCTTTTGCTGAAGACTTTTAAACCCCCTCACAGTAAAATCCTGCTCACTGGGTTATAGGTGCAATTTTCCTTCAAGTATTTTAACTTACTCTTAATGAGTTATATTTGTAAAACCTCTGAGTATCAGCATTATTTTAAGCCCAGAAATCTGAACTATGACTATATCTGGGGTACACTGCACTACAGGTATACACTAATGCTACAACATACAATTATTTTAAACAAAGAAAATTCAGTTAATTTGTATATATTGTCCACCCTGGTGTTATTGTTTAATACTAAATATTAAAAGACATACTCAATTTAAAATAGATTACTTTAGCTAAAATTATTTCTTTAATTTATAATGTGCTTAATTTTGCATGTTACATCTTAGCAGTCTTCCAGGAAATCCTGTCTGATCCCAGGAGCAGGTCAACCTAGCTGGCATTCATGGGGAAACTTGCAAAATGGTTGTCCAAAAAGGAGAGGTATACCACTCCAGTAACATTGCCAAGAAATTACATGAATGTAGTTGTTAGCAGTTGCTTTTATTTTTGCTTTAAGTAATTTGATTTACCATGATTAATTAAATATAACAGCTAAATTATTTTATGAAATATTTAAATAATATATACATACACGCAAATTTACACTCCAATCCTAAATACAAGAATACCAGTTCAGAGATCCTTTTCTGCACAGCATTTGACCATGAAGTGTGTGTTAAGTAATGTATCTCCTATTTGCAGAAAATAATTTGATTCAGTCAATTTTGCTAATTCTCCCTTTCACTGATAATTCCTTATCATCTTGCGTTTTTTACTTTTAGCCAAGGCAAAATCTACTCAATAAGCAGCAGCTCCAGGAATGAAATAAAAATCATTGATCCTATCCCAACAGCGCCAAAAAGCTAATTCCAAGACCTACCCTTGAAACAATTTGGCCAAATTCCTTTCTATTTAATCTTATTTATTTATTTATTTATTATTCAAATTTCTATACCGCCCTTCTCCTTTCGGACTCATCTATCTAGGAAAATCTCAACATTGCCAATTTCTTATCTATTTATCTCTTGGTGTATTGCAAAGCCCTAAAAGAATTCCTAAACAACAGAATGTCAGGCTGCAGCAGCAGTCTGAATTTCACTTTGAAATTAATTGTGTGATTTCTCTCCATATTACCCCTGCCAAAAAATAAAAACCAGCAACCATCTAGAACTGTTGGAGAAAGATAGAAGCAAAGGGAATTTTCTTCTCCTTGCTGAATGCCTGGATTCTAAGTTTTTTTCTATATTTTGTTTTCGTGTGAAATCACTGGTTTCTCGTTTTGTTTTACTGTTTCACTGTCTTTTGCCTAAGAACATATATGTTTTACTACTTTACTACTACTACTTTACTACTTCCATTCCTTCTTCTCTATATTTTATGTGGATTGTGCTCCTTCATATTTTATATGGATTGTGTGCATCTGGAGAGGGGTAAATTCCAAATGCATTCACCACTAAAAAGAGTTGGGGAAGCTTTTCTTAACTTGAGGGTAGATTAGTTTCTTAAATAAATCTCACTAATTTCAACCAGATTTAACAATGAATAAATGTGCTCTTACGAACCTATTTTTGAGTCGTGTTTCATTCACTAAATTCAATAATGTCCAAAAAAACCCCAAACCCACCAGCTACCAAATATAACCTGAATTCAACCCAATGAGCAGAGATTAAAATGAAGAAAATAGAAAACATTTATAGAATAGAAAAATAGAATCAACATTTATGATAAAATAATAAACTCAAACTAAAGACTCAAAATATCAAGCTGTTATTAAATACACCATAACTCTAAATAAATAGCTGACACATTTTTCCATATAGTACATTTTAAACTGAACCATAAAAAGATTCAATCTTCCAAAATTGATGCTTGCATAGCTGTAAAGCTGAATATCAATCAAAGTTTGTGAAATATTCTAGAGAAATAATAATTGAACATCTACCAATTACACTTACAGAATTTGGGAGAAAAACAAATCTAGTAACTGAACATGAAATGCTTTCTCATTTTCTAGTTGTGAAATGGCCTGCAATGTTTCAAACACATCAAAATTCACTTTTCCATTTTATGTTATATACAAGAGAACGTAAACATTTTTGAGGGTGGGAGACCATAAATAGATTCATTGCAATGGTATTGAATTCTGTTTGGTTATTTCTCTATGAACAGAATATTAGCAAATGAAAAGTCTATGTTACATACAAGCTAGACTTTTCATTTGCTAGTACCTCTATAAATATTATGAATATTTATACAGGTAGTCCTCAACTTACAACAGTTCATTTAGTGACCATTTGAAGTTACAACGGCACTGAAAAAAGTTACTTGTGACCATTTTTCACACTTATGACCATTGCATCCCCGTAGTCATATGATTTACATTCAGAAGCTTGACAACTGGTTCATATTTATGAAGGCTGTAGTGTCCCAGGATGTGATCACCTATGTGACCTTCTGAAAAATGGAAAAGACAGATTCACTTAACAACAGTGTTACTAATTTACAACTGCAGATTCACTTAACAAATGTGGCAAGAAAAGTCATAAAATGGGGCAAAACTCACTTCACAAACTTCTCATTTAGCGACATAAATTTTGGGCTCAGTTGTCGTAAGTAGAGGACTACCTGTCAAACTCGGCACGTTGTCGCCACCTGACATATTGGGACATTTTTCCCTTCACGGAGCCGGGGTGGATGTGGTCTGCATGTGACGCATCCGGCCCATGGGCTGCCAGTTTGACACCCTAGTTCTAGAAGGACAAGGCTAATATCCTTTGATTAGTCTATTCTGTTCACAGAGAAATAACCATTCAAACATAGAATTCAATGCAATGATATTTTTTTTTTAATTTGATTTATATGCCGCCCTTCTCCGGAGACTCAGAGCGGCTTACAATGCGCTAAGCAATAGCCTTCATCCTTTTGTATATTTATACGAAGTCACCTTATTGCCCCCACAACTGGGTCCTCAATTTACCTACCTTAGAAAGGATGGAAGGCTGAGTCAACCTTGAGCCTGGCGAGATTCGAACCTGCAGTAATTGCAGGCAGCTGGTCTTAATAACAGGGTGCTTTAGACCACTGTACTACCAAGACTCTTGGTCTACCCCCAAAAAATGTGAATAACTAGGTCCCAGCATTAATTTGGGTAATTATTTAAGCCTGGACAAACTTGTACATCTGATAGTTTTTTTAAAAAAAAATCTAAAATATTTTCAAGACTTAATTACTGATGCTCTAATTTAATTTATTGTTCAGAAGAGACCATCTTCATTTTACTAAGGTGAGAAAAGTACAAGCCTATGCATTATTAATTCAGCTGTGCTTTGTTTGTTTTATACTAACACCCACAATAATAACAGCAAAAATTTCACGTGAGACTGCAAGAATTTTTCTTTTCATTTCAGTTTGTTAAAGCATTATAAACTACATCTAGAGTTTTATGCATGCGAAGTGAATTACAAATGGACTTCTTTCCCACTGCCAAATTTTTCAGAAACAAACTTTTAAGATCTTGCCCACCTTTCTGAATTAATTCTTTACATTTTCCTTGCAGCATGATACAACTGGCATCTAAAATAGTTCCTTTGCACCATGAAATTGGAGATTTTGAATGTTCAAAATTGTATTTTCATGACTGTCTGGGGGTCTATTAAATACCAGCAATTTCATGTAGCCTAGCATAAGAAACCATTCACATATCAGAATCTAATACGTCCAAAAGGGTCAAGTTCTACTTTTCCTGAATTTACATATTCATCGTCCAAATCAAAGATATAATAATCTCAAATAGTATGTGCAAAATATAAAATAGTGCAACAATACAAATTTATTTAGCAATGAACCTTGTTAGTGGAATCATAGAATAATAGGGCTGGAGGAGACCTTGGAGGTCTTCTAGTCCAACTCCCAGCCCAAGGTAGGAATCCTTATTCCATCAAAGTTTTGTTCACATTCCTAAAGTATTAATTTTTCTTATGCTTTCCTGAACACTTTACTCTTACTCTTGTTTTTTATATAGTGTATTCTAATTTCATCTTACCTGGGAGTGTTATTCTTTTCAAAAAGAAGTCAAGTCCTATGGTTTGCTTGTATTGCTTTCCAAAAGTATCGTGTACAAAACGAGTAGCTAAAGAGGTCTAAAAAGAAAATTATATCTAATTCAGAAGCAATGAACAAAAAAATCTAAATTTAAACTCTATTATTTCTAATATTTTATTTCTTTTACTTACGGTAATAATAAAGCAATTTTGTAATACTGCAAAAACTTTATCACATCAAATATTAACTAGTCAATTAACTAAATACTAACAATAAATAAAAAATATTGCAATTCAGAACATTACACAAAGGAATTGCCACCTCCTGAAGCTCTGGCTACTTGACTTAAATGTACTGGGTAAGTGGAATAAGGAAGAAAGGGGCATGCATACCTGTTCTTCATTCTTTTAAACACTGCCTGTGAAACATGAAAGAAAACAACAAATGCTATTGCTGAAAAAAGGTTAAATCACTTTCAGCAATAGTATCCCAACAATCCTTCTCACCATTCTTTCCTTTTAAAAAAGGAACTCCCTGAAAACAACATGGAGTTGGACTAAATTTTAACTGTATCTCACTTTCAGGTCAAAAGGTATTTATTTTATTTTATTTTAAATCTAAAAATCCCACCTTTATTATAAATTGAAAGCAGTGAACATACCTAATACTCCTTATATTTTCCCCGTAATAACAACCCTGTGAGGTAAATTGGATTTAGAGAGAGTAACTAGGCCCAAGTCACCCATGTGTTTTCCATGCCTAAAGTGGGACTAGACCTCCTAGCATTCTGGTTTCTAAACTAGTGCCTTCAATACTAGACTGAACTAGCTCTAGAGTTCCTAAAACAATGAATCACACCATTATTTCTATTCCTGCCCTTCATTTAAGTAACTGACCTACAATCACTCTCTTCGCATAGTTTTCTTCAGGCTTCTTTTTGTCTTCAGAGTTTCACCTACCCACAGTAAAATATTTCCAAGTGTATCTATTTTGAATTTGTATTCAAAATATATGTACACATAAGTTGTTTGATATATACATCCAGAAATAAACCCATGCATACCACACAGAAAAAAAATTATCTGATGTGTTATTACAAAACCAAATTACATTATCATTTGGCAAGCCATTCCAAATACATAATTCCAAATACATATTTTTTTTTCCAATTTGCATATGCAGGTGCCTAATGATCAAAATGGAGGTGAAGTTTACAAGTAATAACACATCCTGAGTTGCACCCAAGCTAAGGAATATACCATTGGTAATTACTTACTCTTCACTTTTCTACCATTAGAAAAGGAGCTCAGACTTTCTTCTTCAGTAAAGTTTTACTTTTGAATTTTACTAATAAAAAATTCTTTCTTGGTGGATCTCTGCTCAGACTAGCTGGGAGGGCTCAATGATGATGGGATGAGCTAAGGTCACCCTTGCTAGTATGAGCAAATGGGAAGGAGGGCAGGTGGGACATAGCAGATATGAAGAAAGCGAATCAAATCAACACAACAAACTTCCAATCAAACTTGGAAAGCAGCACTGTATGATCAAGAACACCTCATGGAAACAGCTGAAACAACTGTGGATGCCAAAGGTCAGAACATACTGGACAGACACTGAACTTTCACAAACAGATCTGGAGCTGATGATAAACAGACAAGGGTAAAGACACTTATTCATTGAAAGTGTCAGTACTGAAAGAATTCCTAGGTTTACAAGATTTCCAATCAAAATATGAGCAGGAAGAAGTGAGAGAAATAAGGATCATTCCTTATAAGGATTATTAATAAGGAAGGATTATTAATAAGGAAGAGAGAAATAAGGATTATTAAGAAGGAAGAGAGAAATAAGGATTATTAAGAAGGAAGGAAGGAAGGAAGGAAGGAAGGAAGGAAGGAAGGAAGGAAGGAAGGAAGGAAGGAAGGAGAGAGAGAGGGAGAGAGAGAGAGAGAGAGAGTTTGGTATTTTAGAAATTCACCAAATATCAACCCATTTTATTCTTAAAACAAAAATACAGAAATCTGACAATAATATTCAAGTTTACTGGCAAATAAGTTTTAAAAAGTGAAAGATATATAATGGAATAACAAATACTGGAAATCACATTATCACTAATGCTAAAAATATTAGTATAAATTTTGTAGGTGTTATACATTCTGAAAACCTTCAAGAGAAAAAAAAATCAACTAACATCTCAACACACTGAATTGCCCATAATTATTTTTAATGGATGCTCAATACTTGAATACTTGAGATTTCACAATCGAAAGTTGAATATATTTTTAAGGCATTAACAATGGAAAATCTCCAGACCCTGATGAGTTAGCAGCCAAATTCTATTTGGATATTCTTATACTAGAATTTTTGACATTAAGCCATGCACTATATCAGGAAAATTGTCTCCCCTTATCCTGGCACTGTTCTAATTCCCAAACCAGGTAAAAAGGCATGTTAGAAGTTTCTTCTTACATACCCATCTCTTTTAATCTTGATAATTATTTACTAAACTATTTTATGATTTATATAATTACATATTTAAATTATATCATTTATAATTTAAGCCAATCATATTAGTTATAGGGGAAATTATTCATTCTGATCAATCATGTTTTACTCCAAAAAGAAGTATCTAGTCCTATCAGAAAATTGCTAAGTATAATTCATTTTTTATAAAATCAACATTATCTTCCTTTTCAATAAGTTGATTAGGTATCTTTTAAGCTTTTGATTGTGTGGAGAGACTGTTTTCTTTATTGAAAAAATATGGGTTTGTGGCAGAGAGGGGGTAAAGCAGGGTTGCAGGGTCGTGCTGAGGATTTTGTCCAGTATCTGCACGATAAAATCACTCAGATTCGGGAAGGCTTGGTCTCTGACTGGGTAGGTACAGACGGGATGATGGGTGCCGGTCTTGAGACTGCCATTTGGGAGGAGTTCGACCCTGTTGCTCCCGAGGACGTGGACAGGATACTGGGGCAGCTGAACGTGACCACATGTTTATTGGACCCGTGTCCCTCCTGGTTAGTGCTGGCCTCCCGGGGGGTTACGCGAGGCTGGCTCCAGGGGATTATCAACGCTTCCTTGAGTGAGGGTATCTTTCCATCTGTCTTGAAAGAGGCGGTGGTGAGGCCCCTCCTCAAGAAGCCTGCTCTGGATCCGGCTGTTTTGACTAACTACCGTCCGGTCTCCAACCTTCCCTTCTTGGCGAAGGTTGTTGAGAGTGTGGTGGTGCGACAGCTTCCTGGGTACCTGGATGAAGCTGTCTATCTGGATCCGCTCCAGTCCAGCTTCAGGCCTGGGCACAGCATGGAAATGGCATTGGTCGCGTTGGTGGATGATCTCTGGAGGGCTCGGGATAGGGGTTGCTCCTCTATCCTGGTCCTGTTAGATTTCTCAGCGGCTTTTGATACCATCGACCATGGTATCCTGCTGCGCCGGTTGGAGGGGTTGGGAGTGGGGGGCACCATTTTGCGGTGGTTCTCCTCCTATCTCTCCGGTCGCAGTCGGTGTTGGCAGGGGGGCAGAGGTCGACCCCAAGGTGCCTTGTTTGTGGGGTGCCACAGGGGTCGGTCCTCTCGCCCCTTCTGTTCAACATTTATGTGAAGCCACTGGGTGAGATCATCCATGGCTTTGGGGTGGATGATACTCTGTACAGCTGTACATCTCCACCCCAGGCCATCCCAACAATGCCCTTGAAATGATGTCCCAGTGCCTGGAGGGCGTGCGGATGTGGATGGGGAGTAACAGGCTTCGACTCAACCTTCCCAAGACCGAGTGGCTGTAGCTTCCGGCGTCCCGATATAGCCAGCTGGTGCCATCGCTGGCTATTGGGGGCAAGTTATTGGCCCCCACGGACAGGGCTCGCAACTTGGGCGTCCTCCTGGATGGACGGCTGTCTTTAGAAGAGCATATGACGGCCGTGGCCAGGGGGGCTTTTTATCAGGTTCGCCTGATTCGCCAGTTGCGTCCATTTCTGGATCGGGACTCCTTACGCACAGTCACTCAGCCACTCGTCACTTCCTGCCTGGACTACTGCAATGCTCTCTACATGGGGCTCCCCTTGAGGAGCACCCGGAGGCTCCAGCTGGTGCAGAATGCAGCCTTGCGGGGGATTATTATAGCGAGGGGGTGCTCCCATGTGACACCTCTCCTGCATGAGCTGCATTGGCTTCCAGTGGTCTTCCGGGTGCGCTTCAAGGTGTTGGTCACCTTTAAAGCGCTCCATGACATAGGACCTGGTTATTTGCGGGACCGCCTTCTGCCGCCGATAGCCTCCCACCAACCAGTACGCTCCCACAGAGAGGGACTCCTCAGGGTGCCGTCAGCCAGGCAATGTCAGCTGGCAACCCCCAGGAGGAGGGCCTTCTCTGTGGCAGCTCCTGTCCTCTGGAACGATTTGCCCCCGGAGATACGAAGGATATCGGATCTCCGGGTCTTTTGCCGTGCCCTAAAAACACCCCCCCTTTTTTTTAGCTTTTTAAATTGTCAATGGGTTTTAGTTTGAATGTTTTAAATTTTGGGCCAAAGTCATATAATTCTTTTAAAAATTTTAAATTTTGTATTGGTATGTGTTTTAGTTCTGGCTGTGCACCACCCTGAGTCCACTAGGAGAAGGGCAGGATAAAAATTGAAAAAATAATAAAATAAAATAAAATAAAATAAAATAAAATAAAATAAAATAAAATAAAATAAAATAAAATAAAATAATAAAATAATAAAATAAATAAAATAAAATAAAATAAAATAAAATAAAATAAAATAAAATAAAATAATAAAATAAAATAATAAAACAAAACAAAACAAAACAAAACAAAACAAAACAAAACAAAACAAAACAAAACAAAACAAAACAAAACAAATAAAATAAAATAAAATAAAATAAAATAAAATAAAATAAAATAAAATAAAATAAAATAAAAAAAGCATGGGAAATGTTTTGAGACACTCATCCTGGAGCTGCTGTCTTCACATGCACGGGCCTTACTTCCTCAAAGCGTAGCAAGACCCAGCAGAGTCCTGCAGACTCCTGATTGCTAGCTGATCAGCACAGAGGTCTAGCCCACAAGCATGGCAAAAATTCCACCAGTGGATGAATCACTAAGCT